TGAGTGTTTTTCCCAGCTGCTCTAAGTGTCGTGGGCCTATTCCCCGCTACSTAAGTGTTTACCCCCCTGCAACCCTCAAAGTCACGGCCACAGGTAAGTACTGGCCCTGCGGGGCCTTGCAACCAACAAGTACCCTTGCGGGTCACACACACTCAACCGACAAGCACTCAGACAGGCATGCAAACGGGCAGGCACGCACACACACACAACCGGCAAGCACTCAGACAGGCATGCAAACCAGCAGGCACGCACACACACAGACTTGGGACCACAGCAGAATGCGGGAATCACAACAAGGCATCCATTCCAGTGACAAATCCCAGAAATCAGCAGTGTTCTCAGTCTGTGTTTTTGGCGGGTCATTACATTACTCCCCTCTCGAGAGCGAGGTCCCTTCGAGCGAGTAACTCAGTCAGAGTTGGCACAGAATGCGTCGTAGGAGTACATCAGAAAGAGAGACTTAGTCAATCCATGAGGATTCATTGTTGCAACGAACTTAGCAGTCTGTCCCTCTGCGATCTGTCTTTCGTAAGCGTTCACAACACGGGGGGCATTCTTTAGCAGCTCTTTCCTGTCGATCCAGAAAAATTCAGTCAATGGGTGATAGAGGAAGTGAACCTTGTACTGTTTGTTGCTCCCTCTGCCCTCGTGAGATACGATTCTGTCTATCTCATGGCCGCCGTCGATAGGGCGAGGTATCATAGGATCTCGGAAGGGAAAAGTCTCATCATCAATGTGCGGAAACAGTTTGGACGCATGAAAAACTGGATACGTGCACAGATGAGGAGGCACGTCAATCACAAATGACGGGCCAAAATCATCCCCAATCACCTTCAGAATCTGCCAAGGGCCATAGTACAAAGGAAGGAGCTTTCGTGATACGCCCTCTTCGTCAGAGAACTCAGACATTTTGACCCAAACATAATCCCCTACTTTGAATTTCTCTTCTTTGCGCATCTTGTTAGCATGTTTGATCATGGCATGATGGCGCTTGTTCATGGCTGCAATCACAGTTTTGAGCAAGCTTGCGTACATGGCATTGTAGCCAAGCATGCCGAGCATCAGACCATGTGACCGTTCGGGGAACAGATAGGAGAGGGGATTGCGCATCGGCCATCCATACTGCAGCTGCTTAATGTCACGCCAGTTGCAGAGTGAATGAAATTGTTATACACTCCCTTTACCTTGTGCAGCTCCTTGTCCCACGTGTTCTGATCTGGAACAATCAATGCGCGGAGTAGTTGGATGACAGTCTGGTTGATCTCCTCAGCCAATCCATTGGCTTCGGGGTGCCAACCAGAAGTCTTGTTCAGTTTAATGTCATAGATCTGCGACGTGAAGTCCTTCCAATCTTTGTTGATGAATCTGGTGTCCCGATCACTCACAATAGTTTTCTGGACACCAAACTGCAGAATGTACTGCTGATGGAATTCCTCAATGACAAGTTCAGTTGGTGCATGGGGAGGAAAGGGATCAGATTCAAAAATTTGGAGAAACGATCCACGATGACCATGACCTATGAATTCCCTGCTGCACTCACCTTTCCCATGTCCGTGAAGTCAATGGAGATCGATTCACCGGGTCCATCAGGAATGGGGAGGGGTCTCAGCACGCCATAAGGCTTATGCCTGTGGACTTTGGTTCTCTGACATACCTGACATTCAGCGATAAATTTCTGAGCAGATCCTTTCATCCCTGGCCAGTCAAACTGCTGCAGAAGACTTCCATAAGTCTTCTCAAAGCCAAAATGTCCACTCCGACCATGTGCCAGATCCAAGAAATGCGTTCGGAGAGGCGCATGGTTGGGTACACACAAGCGATCAAACTTCCCATACCGGCGGAATACAAGACCCTCGCACTCATGAAAATCAGGCTGACTGTTAAGGTCAGCCTTGAGCTGCTCAAGGATGCGACTAAGGTCCGGATCCTTGGTGGTGTGTTCGGCCAGATCCTCCTTCAGTTTCCTTCGGAGGTCATACGAACCCACAAGGCAAGTCAAGAATTCAGGATGGCGCGACAATGCATCAGCAACCCGGTTATAACAGCCTTTCTTATGTTTCAACTCAAAACTGTAGACATCAATGTCATGCAATCAGCGGGTCAATGTAGGAGAGAGTTCAGATTGTGTCTGAATCCACTGCAAGGTCTGATGATCAGAGTAGACCTTGAAGTGGCGACCCAAGAGGTAATGCTTCCAATGTGCGAGGGCTTCGCGCAGGGCGTAAAGCTCACACATATACGTGGAAGTAGCTACCTTGTGGCTGGGCATGCGTTTGCTGTAATACTCGAGCGGACGCAGACCATCACCATCATCTTGTTGCAGCACTGCACCAATCCCGAACTGGCTCGCATCCGTAGTGACTACGAACGTGAGGTTGGGATCTGCAATACGAAGCACAGGATGACTCACCAATGCCTCTTTCAAAGCTTGGCCCGCAGACTCACACTTCTCACACCATGCACAGGCAACATTCGTGTTGGTTAGTCTTGAGAGAGGATGAGCAATGACAGAGAATTTGGGCACAAACTTCCGGTAATACGAGGCCAAACCAAGGAAAGAACGCAGTTCGCGTACATTTGCTGGTTGAGGCCAGTTTCGAATGACCTCAAACTTGGTTGCCTCCGGCTCAAGGCCGTTTGCAGACAACCGACGCCCAAGATAGATGACACTGTCCCTGCCAAACTCAGATTTCTCCAGGTTGAGGTGTAGTTGAGCGTCTTTGAGGACTTGCAAAACTTCCTCAAGATGCTTGACGTGCTCATCCATGGATTTGCTGAAAATCGGAATGTCATCAAGGTACACAACCACGAACCTGTTGAGTTGATGGCGGAGTACCTTGTCCATGAGGCACTGAAATGCGGCTGGTGCATTCGTAAGACCGAAGGGCATAACGATGAACTCGTACAGCCCGTCGCGTGTCTTGAATGCGGTTTTGTGCTGGTCGCTCGGATCGACTTCAATCTGGTGGTAGCCAGACTTGAGGTCAATCTTGGAGAAGACCTTGCAACCACCGGCCGCATCTAACAGATCATCTATATGAGGCAAAGGGTAAGCATTCTTCCTTGTGATCCGATTCAAGCCACGATAATCAATGCACATCCGGAGTTTGCCTCCCTTCTTCGGCACAAACAAGACAGGTCCAAATTCAGACTCACTAGGCCTAATCCATCCACGAACAATCATGTCATCAATTTGTCTCCGCAGCTCCTCCAACTCGCCTTGTCCCATACGGTAGATGCAGCCCTTCGGAGGAACACTCCCTTCTATTATCTCGATCTTGTGTTTGACCGGACGCTCGGGTACTCCGTGAGGTTCAGCCAAGACTTCAGGAAATCGATCTAATAGACGACGAATGTTCGCTGGGATTTCCGGTGGCGGATCATCCTCATCGGGGGAAAAAAAATCAGATTGGGAATTTACAGCAATCACAACCGGTTTCGAGGTATTTGGATCAGAAACAGGTTGGTTATTTACAGTAGAAGTAGGTGGAACAGAAGTAGAGCTACTTACCGAGGTAGAAAATGCAGCAAAAGTGGAAGGCACATGGAGTGGTTTTACAAGGGCTATATGTACAAACTCAGCTTCCTTGTGCCTGCGCACTGACCTGCAGAATTTGTTTGCACTTAAAAGAGTCACAGGGGACTCGCGCGTCTCATCTAATAAGACAGTTATCTCGTTCCCCTTGGCATCAAGTACCACGAACTGATTGTCCGCCCACGTGGTCCTTAGGCAATGAGCCTTTAGCCAGCCCAAGCCGATGACCTAGTCGAAAGGACACTTGTCCATGACATAGAAATTCAGCTCATGTGTGACAGTGCGGTCTTTGTCAAAAGTGATGCGCACACCTTTGACAGCATGAGTGGAAGTGACAACCTCTTGGTTCCCCACCTGAGTCCGGCAAGGGTTCTGCAGTTCCACTTGCTTCATACCCAGGCCCGCCTTACGAATCCCGTTCGGAGAGAAGAAATTAGTGGTTGAACCACTGTCAATCAGCACACGGATGTATCGACGGTTAATGAGCAGTTTAAAGAAAGTCAGCTCCACGCTCCCTTGAACACGGCGTTGCTGCTTGAGCTGCAGCCAATGCTCCATGTGGGCATGGAAGTCAACTTCTTTAGACTCCTCCCAAGGCTCAGTGTATAACACTTGGACTGCACCAGCCTCGGAATCAACATTAGTTCGGGCTTCAAGAGCAAGCTGGTGATCAGATCCAGGCTCCTCGGAAGGGCCTGCAACTGACTGCTCAGCTTCCCTTGTCGTAGAGAGTGTTGATGTCTCTTCTACGCCCCTTGCCTGTTTCCGTGAAGACGATAACAATCCTGCACAGCATGCCCAGGCTTTTGACAATGCAAGCATACGTGCAGTTTGGATCTTCTTTCCCATTCCTTTTGAGTGATGCGAAGGGCTTCCCAAGGCTTGGTAGAAGCGCCCTCCGGTTTCTCAGGGATCTTAGCATTTTTGGGAAGGTGTATGACAGTTCCCTTACCCGAACCACGATTAGGCCCCTTATTTGAAGCAGCCTTTCTAAATGCATTAAGTTTTTCATCTTCATTTCTGTCACACTCAATGGCTGATGTGGAACAGCCCGTATCGGAGTCCGACTCTAGATCGTCATCTAGAGACAGATCATCCGCATAGGACTGATCTTCAGCCTCCCGATGATTATGCAGTGCAAGCTGGTTGCTACTTCCAAACCGCTTGCGTTGTGGTTTCCCACCTACAGCGGGCGCCTTCTTGCGCCTGGTGAGGTCCTTGGCCTCTAGGTTGACTAGGTCCTTCATGAGCTCTCGCCAGGTGGCATGGTCCTTGAGTGCTAGCAGGGAAAGGTATTCTTTAGGGGTCACTCCCATGACTACATCCATACAAGACACGTCATCCATTCCCAGATCCGGTGTGGTGAACAGACCAGTCAAGTGTTGTTCCAAAGCCTGCATGGATGACCTCCATGTTTGGCCCTTGAGGGCCTCAAGCTTCAGCCTAGCCTTGAGCGCAGCATGTTTATCTTGGTACCGGTCAAGGAGAAGGTCCTCAAGGGCGCGGACARGGGTGACCTTCARCCATTCGGTCAGGTCTATGCGTTYATAGCYTGCAGCGACARCTTGGAGCTCAATGTGGTTTCGTACGGCRGGCTCAGTATTAGTYCCCATGATCATACTTCGGTCCTCTTGCGGTGTCYRCATGACCTCGAAGTACGACCGCATGRAACTAATCCAAGAGGTGATGTYTGCCTTCCCGTCRTACTTGGACGRCAGYGTGGCCGCCCGCTTGTCCAMCATGGGACCGCTGTACTGAACGCCAGTAAGGACTGTGGCGTTTTGGGCTGAAGTCCCTGCATTTGGGACCATGACCAGCGCAGAACTGTCGGCGCTGCCGCTCGAGTAGCTGGCACCGGTTCCTGCGCTTGCCATGGTTCCACTTGATCTTACTATGAGGGCTGTGTTTGATTGAGAGACCGGGACTACAGCAGACCGAGGGTTAGGAGGGCGGGGGGCAGACAGTTGGGACTGTTTGAGGCTGGTTATCTCAGCCTGCAGCTCTTGGTTCCGCTGCTCCAACGCTGTTACACGGGTCTCAAGATCTTCCAAGTTCCGCAGTCGAACCAAGGCTGCGACGGCAGCAGCTAGCCTCTCCTAGAACCGGTCAGCATTGGCTCCTGGGACCTGTAGGAGGGCCTCCTGAGCAGCTATGCTTGTAGCTCTAGCTGTTGCCTCTGCCTCCCTTTCCTTCTGTACGACATCATCATACAACTTTTGAAAGAACGGTTTTTGGCCCTCGTCTGCTGCGTCCAGCATGGCCTGCCATTGGGCAGATGTGATGTCCGCCATGCCGGAGGAAGGGGGGTTAGTAGATCTCTCAAGAGGGTACCGCTCTCTCCTGACGTTTGGACGAACACTCCTCTTGCCCCTTCTCACACTCTCAAACAGATTACCTTCTCTCTCCCTTTCTTCTCTTCTCGCTGTCTGCGCACGCGTCTCGATGTCAGACACAGATAGTTCAGATAAAGGAAACAAGCAGAAAGTTCACACAGAGAAGAGGTCGAACTCCTAGCCGGAGCGGCAATTCATTTGGATTCAGAGAATGGCACGCAGCAGAAGACTAAATAAATAAAATAAATAAAAAATAATAAAACAGCAGAGAGGACTGATTTATAGAACGGGCCTGATCAGATCAGCTGGAGATCCCCTCTTGTCTAACCTGACAAGGGACATGCATCATGATAAATCAGCCGAAGAAAACTAACTGCAGCAATGGAGATTTCGAGGGGTGCAGACGGTCGCCGAGTCAGACGCGGGGCAGTATGTGCTATCATGCGGTAAGGCCAATCAAGATCCTCTTGAAAGGAATGCACTTGCTTGTCCGTATGTCCCCCAAGTTCAGCACAACAAAGAAATGCACCGACGGCAACAGATCTGGGCCCAAAAGGTCCTGTCCCGTTGGGCCTGGTCCCACTTGGTCCCGAGGGGTCCCAAGTAGGCCGTAGACCAGGACCAACGTGATAGGGGTACCAAGTCAGTCCCAAACTGCCTCTACCGTACTGAAAAGGAAAAGACAACTTTCAGCAAGAACTTACTTCTACAGCCGTTCAGAAATGAAAAGACAATGCACCGTAGAAAGATATGTCATTTAGAGTAGATACATCATCCATCCATCCATCAGGTGGGGAAGCAATCCACAAGCTCACACACACAACCAAGATCGCAGAGAAGAGGAAGAGAACCCAGCACACCCCCAACAGGTCATGAAGCACCAATCAACCTCCCACAAGCTTTCCCAGGTCACACGACACTTACCTGTGAGGCCCGGCCTCCCAAGATGGATAACGAGTCACTCCCCTCTCTCATGAGTCCTCCTGACCCCTAGCTACCACTACACGAAGTGTCCTAGCATGACTAAGAGGGCCTTCCTACACCCCTGTTGCAAAGCCGGATCCCCCGTCGATGTCTGAAGACCAAAGTAGCAACTTGCAGCAATCCGATGCAGATATGGCAGCCTCCGATCAAGTCTCCCTCTTGAGGGGAAGCCCAAAAGTCACTCAGTGTCTTCCTGAAGTCCAGATTCCAGGTGTGAGTACCTCTCACTCTCTACTCCCTCTCGCTTACTCCAATCAGCCTCCTTTGTGTCTCGCCACCCCATACATTCACTCAAGCAACCTGGTTGGGTCCAATGTCGACCCTACATGTCCTAACCAGGTGGGGGCAGCATCCCCATACCTCGCTGCCCCAATTAACCCTAACTTCCCAACCCTAATCCGAGATTAGGTTAGCCCTAACCTAATTCGGAATTAGGGTTAGGGTGACTAACACCTCTCGCCAGCAAGTAAGTCCGCTCCGATACCAATTGTTACGATCCTGGTCATTTCCCAAGTGCAAATTCACAATGAAAGACAATGCCACCCAATTGTGAAAGAAATGAAAGCACTTGCAAAGAGATAAAGACCAGAGGAGAGGTAAAGAAGAAGAAGAAGAAGAAGAAGAAGAAGAACTAGTACACCAGCAAGA